CTTATCTCTCGTCCAGTACCGTATGGTGCCTCGTTGGTAAAAAGCAATCACAAGGACTCTAAAGTTATTTGCTTATGATTACATGTAAACCATTAGGTTGTTCAGTATTTCGTAACGAAATCTGCAAAAAGTTCATTTTTGAAGAAAGATGCCTTGGTTAGTCAAACTGGTTCAAACCATGGAGGTGGCCATTTTGGTTCAAAAACATCTAATTCATCCTCCAATCATGTAAAAACACCAAACCCAAAGAAATCATTATCAAATTGCTTTCTTATCTCTTTTCCAGTACCGTATGGCGCATGATTGGTAAAAAGCAATCATAAGAACTCTAAAGTTATTTGCTTATGATTACATGTAAACCATTAGGTTGTTCAGTATTTTGTAAAGAAATCTGTGAAAAGTTCATTTTTGAAGAAAGATGCCTTGGTTAGTCAAACTGGTTCAAACCATGGAGGTGCATCTAATTCATCCTACAATCATGTATAAACACCAAATCCAAAGAAATTGCTTTCTTATCTCTCTTCCAGTATCGTATGGTGCGGTTGGTAAAAAGGAATCACAAGAACTCTAAAGTTATTTGCCTATGATTACATGTAAACCATTAGGTTGTTCAGTATTTCGTAATGAAATCTGTAAAAAGTTCATTTTTGAAGAAAGGTGCCTTCGTTAGTCAAATTGGTTCAAACCATGGAGGTGGCCATTTTGGTTCAAAAACATCTAATTCATCCTACAATCATGTATAAACACCAAATCCAAAGAAATTGCTTTCTTATCTCTCTTCCAGTATCGTATGGTGCGGTTGGTAAAAAGCAATCACAAGAACTCTAAAGTTATTTGCTTATGATTACATGTAAACCATTAGGTTGTTCAGTATTTCGTAATGAAATCTGTAAAAAGTTCATTTTTTAAGAAAGGTGCCTTGGTTAGTCAAATTGGTTCAAACCATGGAGGTGACCATTTTGGTTCAAAAACATCTAATTCATCCTACAATCATGTATAAACACCAAATCCAAAGAAATCATTATCAAATTGCTTTTTATCTCTCTTCCAGTATCGTATGGTGCCTGGTTGGTAAAAAGCAATCACAAGAACTCTAAAGTTATTTGCTTATGATTACATGTAAACCATTAGGTTGTTCAGTATT